TTCCTTAATTAGTTCAAAACCAAAAGACCAAGCTTACCGTGCATATCTGATCAGTGCTTCAGACCTAATCCTTTCCAGTCAGAAATTCAATTAGGTGGGTTCTGCTGAGCTTCCTGTGTCCTGTATGGGGACATTTAAATTCAGTGAGGATGGGACAAAGCCAAAAAATGGACGGCATCCTCCCTCTCCCTGAGGTCTGACAAAGTACAGACTAAAACCTTATGTTCTCGCCAAGGAGTGTGGTTAATGTAGAGCAACTCGCATCTTAACTTGAAAAACCAACATAACTCGATGGCTGAAAGCTCAGTAATATGGGCATTTAAGTTTAATAAAATTGAGGAGTACTGTATATCCTTAAATTCCTAAATACACTGGAAGAAAAATATTTTGCTTAGGACAAATCAGTTTTAAAATATCAATCGATACATATTAATTTATTGAAGATTTACATGTTTTTCAATTCACCCTACATGAAAAGAATTCCTGCGCCAATGAGGAGTGGTATCAAAAACTCATTGAACAGTATGACACCAAATCTTGGCACTGACAACCCGAATTCATTCTTTCCAGATGTACCACATTGTTTCTTTGTATAATAAAACATTTTTTGATACACTGAAAGCAATAATGTTTTACTTAAGGCATCAACCATTTTAAAATATCACTTGATGCACATTAATGTATTGAAGCTTTATGTGTTTTCAATTTATCTATATGAAAAAAATTCCTGCACCATGGAAGAGTCGTATCAAAAACTCACTGAACAATCTGACTACCAAATCCATCCGGCACCAACATCCTGACTTGATTATGTCTAGATGTACCACATTGTTTCTTTGTGTAATAAAACACTGTATGATACACTGAATGCAATGTTTTGGCTTAGGGCACCAACCCTTTCTAAAATATCAACATTGCTTTCATTGTATCATTATATTTTTTATTGTATATAAAAACAAGGTGGTAGTTGTGGAAATAACAACAGTCAGGTTGTCAGTGTTTATTGTTTGTACACCTGTTTTTGAAACCGTTCCTCCTTCGCTCAAGAATCGTTTTTAATTTTAGAGGAATTAATTGATTGATAAATTATCAGAAAAATGTACATAAGGTTCACTACATTGTTATGTACTTTTTATTTGAAAACTGTTAGCAAAATTTTATTGGTTCTATTGTCCCATTCGTTTTTATGGTTTGAAGTGGTTTTTATGGTGATAGGTCCCAATTGACATTTGGCTGTCATTGTCATATGTGACATCACTTTTCCATTTTATCACCTTAATTTGTTCAATCGTTGACTGGTATTCTTTTTGATATAGTGTCTATGAATTTTTTGAAAAATGGTAGAAAAAAGCTTGTAAAACTTGACTTCATTAAAGCGTATTTCTTTATAATTTAATACTATTGTGCAAATGCTTTTGAAGTTACTCCTCCATGATACAAGAGTTATTTTAGAAGTGGGATCAATGGATTGCATAGAAAAGCTTCTAAAGTTTCTCTACATTAACGTTTCATTTTAAAACCGACCTTGGCAAGAATGGCTTTCATTATATAATTCATTGTTGTTATGAGTAGTAACTAGGCTGGTGGTGATTGACGATTAGGTTGTCAGAGTCAGACGTGATATCACGATACCACTTTATCAACTAGATTTTCAGAAATCACACTTCAAAATATTTTCCTTGACAGGAACTTGGATGTAAGACTGACCCATTTATTGACGAAATAGCAGATAACATTTTGTAAAGTGTCAATTATTATTGTGCAACGATTTGTATATTAAAACTGATTTCAGTGTTATTCATTTAAATATAACAAAAAAGAAAAAATATTTCTGAGAGAGGAGTGTTCCCTTAGGATAATACATAGGTTAAAGTAAAAATTATTAACAGTTTGACACAAAAATAAACCTTGCCATGGTGATAAACGTAATAACAATAGACGTATATAAAACAAAACCCAAAGGAGTAAAAATTAAAATGAGTTACCCTGAAAATGAACATAAAAAAATAATAATTACGGAGGAAATTTAAATCGTGGTTAAGTTTAGTTAAGTAAGTCAATAGTTAAGTAACTCTGTTTGTGGAGGTGCTTGTACAGGAGATGTTTGAAAGATATAAGGGAAGCAGCATTGCTGATAGTGAGGGGGGGAGGGAGTTCCAGAATTTTGGTGCTTGGACAAGGAAAACAGTTTAAAGAGAACTTCGAAGAAGAATTAGGTCATAGGGAGATGAGTGGGTATTGCAGGAGTAGAAAGAGGATTTCAATCAGATGGACCGGATAACGTAATGAGGACGTTGGGTTTTAATGGCCTGGTAAATGAAGGAAATATGGGCTTAGGGAAGAGGGATAGAGCCGGGATAGGTCCGAATACTTATTGTGGGCCCAGTTGTTGATGGAATTTAGTCTTTATGGATCTTAGGGATGGCCAATGGAAGTTCAGAGGGATAGAAGACAGGTAGATTTGGGCTTCATCGGCATAAAAGTGATGGTTACAATACTCAAAGTCAGAGGGGTCATTAATGTAGATGCTGAAAGTATGGGAGAGATGCTCGAGCCTTGGGGAACACCACATTTTAATGGATTGAAGAAGGAGGTGTGGCTGTTAGGGATGGCGACAGCTAGAAGCCTATTGTAAAGATATGGATCTGATGGTGCGTTGGAGAAAGAAAAGGATTCGAGTTTGACGAATGAATGATGTGTATGATGTGATATAATCATCAGTTTTTATATTGTTCTGCTGTTGGAAACAACTCCCTCCTTTTTGCCATTTTTCAAATGTCGTGTAATCAATTTGATTCTCGGCAACAAATGTCTATTCTAAAAGTGTGGTTCTAATTCTAATAAATTCTAAAGGTGTGGTTAAGATGGGAAGTTGGTGTCCGAGTGGATCGAGGTCACGATAGCTCAAGTGGTAGAGCAGCGACGTATCAAGCCGAAGATCGTGGGTTCGAATCCCCTCGTGCCATTGACTTTTTTATCTCAACTAAAAACCTTAATTAATTACAGATATTTAGCTTAATTTCTAAGTTTTCTCCCAAAAGTTATAGCTGTTTTATTTTATTTACTCATTTTTTATGTTGACAAGGGTTTGCAACAGCTGAGGTCATATCAACTGATGGAATATGGTCCTGCCATCATTGGGCTGATTTTGGGGACTATTGTTTTGTTATATGTGCCAAAGTATGAAACGTTATTTGGATAGAAATCAAAGTTGTCCTTCAGTGCTACTAAGAATGCAAAGAAAATTATATTTTAAACCAATATGTTTTCAATTTACAAACATGATTGACTTTTTTTTTGTCAGTGTCAGTCAGGTTATCACACCACACCTTTCTAACTGAATATCTTTTCTAAGGGAACTTTTCAAACACTTATTGGGACAAGAATTTTTATAAACAGGGATAATATATTTAAAAATTATTTGGCAGATCCTTGAAAAACAATGAATGCAGATAATGAATTGCTACAAACTATATTGCGTTTGCCAATTCAATACAAAAGTTATTGATCATTAGTAAATTGTTACTTATTGTCAATATATGTATTTAGTAGTCATAATTGACCACATTAATTAATTAATTAGACTGTTTATCTAAGGTCTTGGTTGAGATGAAAAAGCTAGCATCACGAGCAGGATCCGAACCCACGATCTTAATTAATTATGTATAATTAATATGGTGATTTATGACCACTAAATAAATATATGGATTAATATAAAAAATTGACAGGCTGAGATGAGTTATCCGAGTGGATTGAAATCACGATAGCTCAAGTGGTTAGGACGGAGGTGTATTTAGCCGAAGCTCATGAGTTCGAATCCCGCTCGTGACACTAGCTTTTTTGTCTCAATCAAGACCTTAGATAAACAGTCTAATTAATTAAAATTAAGTATAATATTTTCATCTTAGGCAAATAATTGTCTCATATAATTAAACATGTGTCGCAAGAGTAAATTGTTCAGCCGCACATTACTTTTCCAAAATAATAAGATAAGTGATTGTGATTTTATTACAAAATGACCTTGCTTTCCTCGTTCTTCTCAACCTGTGGGACGACATGTGTTGTGATTAATTTCTGCTTATATGTTATCTTACTTTTGAAAGACAATTATTACAATTTTGTATAGACTCAAACTTATAAAATATAAAACTTATAAATATTTAAAAATCAATCTTGTCCACCACATAGAACAAGAATAGATCAACCAAGGGTGTCACTTAAATGCTAGGTGTTGATCATTGAATTTGATAATTTGAATTAAACCTATTTAAAACAATGATTTATATTGTTCTTGGCTAAATACGAATGTTTCAAAAATTAATGTACAAATAAAATCTTAACATTTTCCTATTCATTTTTTATAAATTGGTTTGACACAAATTTAAAATTGTAAAAGTTTGAAATATTGAAATGTTTCATTGGTCGAGAGTATGGTTGAACTTTTAAATAGCCTTTTAATTAACATACAAAATTAATAATAGATTATTTACATATAATAACTGTTAATATAAGCAATTCAGTATTTTATAGTTGTTATTGCAAGGAAAATATTGATCACAGATGTGAAATATTGCTTGCAGTCATAATATTGTTAATATATTTGTACATCTCAACTTTTATATAAATATTATTTATAACCCTTTATTAAAATATTCTTTAGTAAAGTTTTAATAAAGAAACTTTTTTTTTCTAAAATTGTTTTTAGAGCTGCAATTTTTAAATGTATAGCCAATTTATTGTTCGGTTCAGTGTTTGATGGTAAAATGCAATTGTGAACTTTCTGTTGGGTCAGTAGATAGCTTCTATTGGACTGACTGGAAAATAATGCAGGTGGGTTTTTTCCCTTTTTTCCAGTTAACCCTATATATAATAAACTGTTTACTTTTGATGGATTATTCTTTTGTACAAATGTCAACACTTTTTAATCCTCTTCCAAATAAAAATGTTTGTTTACCTCAGTAGCATTTTGTCACTTGGGAATAATTCAGTTTTTACAATTCTAAGATGTCAACGCATGATTTTCACGTAATTTCATTTAACAAGTTTAACAGCTAGAAACATTAATGAAGTCTGGGGTGATGGCAATGAGTGAGAGCACCGGTCAGAGAAAGTTTGAAAAATTTTGTGAACGGGACTAGCCTTGAAAAAACAAAAACAATCTTGGAAGGATTTCTTCCCTACATGGTGATGTTCTGTGACCTTTGGTCTAAGAAACTCTCAGAGCAGCAGTGCAGAGAATCTTTCAGTTAACAAATTGACCGTCGCTGACCCCTTGAAGCAATTGAAAAGGTGAAAAAGCTCAAAAGTAGGGTTCTTCATGCATTAAACAACTGCGCAAAAAATCACCATTAAGTTGTTTGCGTAATACTTCTTTGCCGAAACGGAAATGAACGTTTTCTGGATAGAATTGTTACTTGTGATGAAAAGAGGATTCTATACGATGGCATTCGTTCTGGACAGTAGCTCGACAAAGGAGGATTTTCCAAAGGCCTCCCAAATCATCATAAAATAGTGACTCTTTGGTTGGCTTCATTTGGGCTAATTTACTACAACTTCTTGAAACCTGGTGAAACAATCAATGCTGAAATGTATTCCTCTCAAATTGAAACAATGCATCAGAAATTGGCATTTTTGAAACTATCTTTGGTCAATCGGAAAAGGCCAATTCAATTACACAACGCTCGGCCCCATGTCTCACACGTGACAACACGAAAACTGTTAGATCCTTGTTATGAGGTTCTGCCACATCCTCCCTCTTCTTCAAACCTCTCGTCTACTACCATTGTTTTTAGACACTTGGACAACATTTTACAACACATTTGTAGTGTATAATTTTTTTAAATAATAAAGACACAAAATTCTATTCAAAAGGTATAGAGAAGTTGCCATCAGAAGAAGTGTATTGAGAGTGTTGGACGGTTCAATTTAAATTAATTAATTTAATTTCAATTTTTAAAAAATGTTTAAAATCATTGTTTTTATGTTGTAACCATAAACCTGCGTTATTTTCCGAACAACTGATGATTTCCCCCATTTACATTTGAGACCCTAGCTGTTCACAAATTGTTAAAATTCTGAATTTATGTGCAAATAAAAAATTTTATCATTATTTTTAGTTGTTTTCTAAACATCTTTTCAAGTTGAGAAAGCAATTGCTATTCTATATTGTATTGTTTTTTGCAGAATCAGCAAGAGGAAGGAACAAAAAGGAAGATAAGAGATAGTGCAGTTGACTCAAAAGCCTTTGGTGCTTCCATTTTCGGGGGCAAAGTGCAGTTTCAACACTTTCTACCAACCAAGTAAGTAATTTAATATATTTCTATTGAATTTAGTTTACAATGATAAATTAGGCTCATTAAAAAAAGAGGATCTGTATCAGTGTAGTTTAATTTTGATTTATTAAAGATTTTTTATTGTTTTTTTCTGTTTAAGGTGCCACATGAAAGAAGATAGATTCGTCTTAACAAACATCAGTCCTTGAGTCTACAGCATCAACGGTTTTGTTTAGTTGATTTTTGTTTTCCTTTTAATTTGAAATTACTTTTACTTTTTTTTCTTTTTCAATTATTTTATTCGTATTTTAATTTAAAAGAAGAAAATTATTGGGAATATTCTAAGGTCTCAAATTGGAAATTGAACCCAGGTCAGATTGGCTGTTTAGCGAGTCCATTAATTTGTGTGCTTTCAGGTTAAGCTTTTTCTTTTTCTATTTTTTATTTATTTTTTCAAAATTTAACAAAAACCTAAGGCAAAAAAAGAAGATGGCTACTGATAAAGTAACTTTAACAGATGCACTGTCTAATGTTGATGTTTTAGATGAACTGGCATTGCCTGATGAGCAGCCGTGTATCGAGGCGCAGCCATGCTCTTTAGTCTACCAGTCAAATTTTGACACCAATTTCGAGGACAGGAATGGTTTTGTCACTGGCATCGCCAAATATATCGAGGAGGCGACAGTTCACGCACGGCTCAATGAACTCCTGGAAGAGGGACAGGAGCACGCCGTCATGCTCTACACGTGGCGCTGCTGCTCCCGTGCCATCCCCCAGCCCAAGTCGAACGAACAGCCCAATCGTGTGGAAATATACGAGAAGACTGTCGAAGTCCTCGCCCCTGAAGTACACAAGCTGTTGAATTTCATGTATTTTCAGAGGAAAGCGATTGAGAGGTTTTCCGCCGAAGTCAAGAGGTTGTGCCACACAGAGAAGAGGAAAGATTTCGTCTCCGAAGCCTACCTGCTCACTCTCGGCAAATTCATCAATATGTTTGCAGTCCTTGACGAACTCAAGAATATGAAGTCAAGCGTAAAAAACGATTACTCCACTTACAGGAGAGCCGCTCAGTTTCTCAAAGTGCTCGCCGATTCACACACCCTTCAAGAATCACAAAACCTGTCAATGTTTCTTGCAACACAAAATAAAATCAGGGACACGGTTAAAGAAAATTTAGAAAAAATTGCAGGCTACGAGGAACTTCTGTCCGATGTTGTTAATCTAGCAGTGCACATGTTTGACACGAGAATGTATCTAACGCCAAACGAAAAACACATGCTTGTCAAAGTCATGGGATTTGGCCTTTTTCTGATGGACAATGAAATGTGTAATATCAATAAATTGGACCAAAAGAAAAAATTGAATCTGAGCAAGATTGATAAAATATTCAAGAATCTTGAAGTCGTGCCACTTTTTGGAGACATGCAAATTGCACCTTTCAACTACATTAAAAGAAGCGCCCATTTTGATGCTTCTAAGTGGCCATTGTCCAGCTCCACTGCAATGAGTCCTCAAGCCGAACTCATGATTCACTTGCCACAGATCCGCGAAGACCATGGCAAGTACATCAGTGAGCTCGCCAGATATTCTAATGAAGTGACAACTACATATAAAGAGACACGTACAGACATTGAAAATAAGGAAACTGCAGATTTGGCACTCAGAGGCTTACAGTTGTTATCAGAATGGACGAGTGTCGTCACTGAGCTTTATTCATGGAAATTGCTTCACCCGACTGACCATCATCAGAATAAGGAGTGCCCGGCTGAGGCCGAAGAATACGAGAGAGCAACTCGGTACAATTACACAACTGAAGAAAAATTTGCACTGATAGAGGTCATCGCCATGGTTAAAGGTCTACAGGTTTTAATGTCTCGAATGGAAACTGTATTCACAGAAGCTATCAAGAGGAATATTTACGCCGAACTTCAAGATTTTGTACAGCTCCATCTAAGAGAACCCTTGAGAAAGGCGATTAAATATAAAAAAGAGTTGATCAGGAGTATTATCGTATCTGTGAGGGAGACTTGTGCTGACTGGCAGAGGGGTTTCGAACCTCAAGCGGATCCGGCACTCAAAGGGAAAAAAGATCCAGACTCTGGTTTTGGAATAAAAGTTCCCAGGAGGAATGTCGGTCCTTCATCCACTCAATTGTACATGGTAAGGACGATGCTCGAATCGCTAATCGCAGATAAATCTGGTGGCAAACGTACTCTCAGAAAAGACATAGACGGGCAATATTTAGTTCATATCGATCAGTTCCACAAAACATCGTTTTTCTGGAACTATCAGTTGAGTTTCAGCGAATCGCTTCAGCAATGTTGTGATCTATCACAGCTTTGGTACCGGGAGTTTTATCTGGAGATGACCATGGGCAGAAGAATCCAAAAATGTACAGTAAAACATCAACACAATGATGAATGCAGTGATTTGATAACGATGGAAAAAAGAATTCAGTTTCCCATTGAAATGTCAATGCCATGGATCTTAACAGAACACATCCTGCGAACAAAAGAGCCGTCAATGATGGAATTTGTTTTATATCCTCTTGATCTGTATAACGACAGTGCACATTATGCTCTTACCGTTTTCAGAAAACAATTCCTTTATGATGAAGTTGAAGCTGAAGTAAATCTCTGCTTTGATCAATTTGTTTATAAGTTGTCAGAGCAAATTTTTACTCATTATAAACAACTCGCTTCAAGTATACTTCTTGACAAGAGGTTCAGATCGGGGTGTGAATCACTCGGCATGAGTATCTATGTATTCCCATACCCGAGAGCTAATAGATACGAAACTCTTCTAAAACAGAGACATGTTCAGCTTTTAGGAAGGTCCATCGACCTCAACAAACTCATCACCCAAAGAATTAATGCTGACATGCAAAAGGCTTTAGATGTAGCGATAAGCAAATTTGAGGCAGGTGATATAACAGGTGTCGTTGAATTGGATGAATTGCTGCAAGTAAATCGAGTCTGTCACAAGCTGTTGAGCAAGTTTCTCGCCTTGGACGATTATGACGCCATGTTCAGAGAGGCAAATCATAATGTTTTAGCTCCCTATGGAAGAATAACACTGCATGTTTTCGGGGAATTGAATTTCGACTTTCTCCCATGTTATTGCTACAATGCCGCAACGAATCGTTTTGTGAAAAGCAAAGGCGGCATAGATTTTATTCCGCCTGTCCACCGTGACAAGTTGCCACAAATGCGCTATCAGTATCTGTGGGGGAGCAAACAACTCAATATATCTTATTCAACCATTTTTGGACAGTATACCGGTTTTGTCGGAACGTGTCACATGAGGTCGATATGTCGTCTTTTGGGCTATCAGGGCATAGCTGTTGTTATGGAAGAATTGTTGAAAATCGTCAAAGGCTTGATTCAAAACACTTTATTGCCATTTACAAGGGCTTTGATGGATGCTATGCCTAAAGTTTGCAAACTTACAAGATACGATTATGGTTCCCCTGGTGTATTTGGGTACTACCAAGCCCAACTCATTGATATCATCCAGTATGCTGATGCTAAAACAGATCTTTTTCACCAATTTAGAGTACTTGGAAACATGATTATTTTCTGCCTCTTGATGGAACAAGCTCTATCCCAGGAAGAAGTATGCGATTTGTTACATGCCGCCCCATTTCAGAATATACTTCCCAAACCATTCTGCAAGGAAGGGGGGAAGCCCGAGGCAAAACAGAAAAGGCTCGAAGCGAAGTATGCATCTCTACAAATTGTACCAAATATCGAAAGGCTCGGCACACCGAAACAGGCACAGATTGCAAGAGAAGGTGATTTACTGACGAGAGAGCGTTTATGCTGTGGACTCTCCATTTTTGAAGTAGTCCTTACTCGTTTGGGAGGGTTTTTAGACGATCCAGTCTGGATCGGGCCTCCTCCTCCAAATGGAGTTATGAACATAGACGAATGCACCGAGTTCCACCGCCTGTGGTCTGCTTTGCAATTCATCTATTGCATCCCAGTCGGTGACACAGAGTTAACCGTCGAGGAACTATTCGGCGAGGGGTTAAACTGGGCTGGCTGCACCATGATCGTCCTTCTCGGCCAGCAGAGGCGCTTCGAAGCCCTTGACTTTTGCTACCACATACTGCGCGTTCAACAAGTGGATAGAAAGGACGAAATCGTGAAAGGGATCCACTTAAAGAGGTTGGTGGAGAGGATCAGACGTTTCAAGGTTCTCAACTCACAAATTTTTGCAACCCTCAACAAATATTTGAAGTCAAATGATAACGATTCCAAGTCGGTAGAACAGGTCAGATGCTTTCCTCCTCCAATTCATCCTTCTATCGCTCCCCAGTCGCATTATTACCGCCCTGAACAAATTGTACATAACTGAATTTTTTTTTTATGTCTGCTTATTTTAAATAATTTATTAATATGTTCTTCTTTCTGTTATTCAATTTAGGCCACATTTTTACTAACAAAATGTTTAAGCAATTAGAAAACGCCTCAAACTAACCTTTGTTCCAAAAGTCATAATGGTCTCAGCTATAATCACTCCCTTGCCATTTTCTGGTAAATAAAAACAAATCAAATTTTGTATTTTTACCATAAACTTTTACCAGATCATTTCACTCGTTCTAAACCATGAATGGCAAAACAACTTAAAATCCCAATAATTTTCTTCACTGATTTTTATAAGGAAAAAGCAAGTCTTAGAAAAGAGAGTAAAGTAATGCTGAATTTTTTTTCAAGTTTCCTCGAAGTTTTGGAGGCTGGCTGACCATAATATTGTGTGGCTTGAATGTTTGAAGAAAGAAGACTGCGAAACACTACCCGGGCGTTTCTCTAACTCTCTCACTCTCTGTTTTCTTAGTTGGCAGACCTCCCACTCCCTGAGACCCTAATCTGTGATGTTGGCTACTATTTCTCACAGGCTAGGTTTCTCAGGTGCGGGCGGTAGCCTCACACCATCGTTCTTAATCGGAGATTCAAATAAATGACCTTTTTTCGTTCTTTTTCGTTTATTTATTTTATTTAATTTTATTTTTTAACTGTCACAAAGCAGTAGATATTATTTTGTGGCCTTAGTTGAAAAAAGCAGGATTTCTTTTCTTTTTTTCTTTTACCTAAAAGTTTATCTAATACCAAAATTAATTTTTAAGCTGAAACGTCTGCCGGAATGTAAGACCTGGGTTCAAATTTCATTTCCTTGTAATCTAATCAATTTTATTATTTTCTTTTACAGATCAACTATTGAGACCAAAAAATAATATTTACATTAGTGTAAAATGTGTTTACCTCACAAGTATTAAAGTCTTCTTATGATATACATTGTAATTTTTATATTATATTCATTATTGGAGTAAATTTGAAGTTGGTACTACAAAATATATAATTATAACAATGGAAATTTATATTATATATATATATTTAAAGAAGATATGTTGTTCTTTTTCCCTTGGTCCTAATTACTTCTAAACCTGTTTTTTTTTCTTTTTTCTTTTGGATAAACAGTTCTTTTGCAAGCCCAATTCCTACATTTTAATAGTATGACAAATACATCTATAAACTTAAGTGCTTCCTATCCATTCCTTATTATCTGCAAGTCAGCGTCCCAAAAGATCACATTCTGTGATCTCAAAAATATCCAAAAACATCACATTAATACTGCAATTTTTTCTTCCTCTTTACCTTGTACATTGGGCTTATCAAAGACATTCAAAATGTGGAGGACAACTGTGTGAAGAAAGATGTACACAATGTACATAAAAAATTTTAAAAACAGTTTTCCCTGTACTGTACATCAAGCGTCGATGGCTGCAATAGTCAGAGTGTTTATATGGCATCTCATCATTCTAAGGGTCCCAGGTTCGAATTCAGGGTCATTAGAGCCTATAACCCTTACTGTTATGAGACCACATCAACACTAACTCATGCTGATCTGGCATAACGTTACTTACTGATTGGGTCTGTCTTCACTTACGGGTTTTTGAATTATTGAAACGTGTTTCAGCATTGCGCCAACTTTAGTGAGGAACCCTGGAGTAGGGTGATAAGAATCCTTAGAACTTCCTTCAGTTCCTCACTAAAGATGGCACAATGCCGAAACACTTTTGAATGACCCTACAAAGCCACGAGAGAACACAGATCCAATAACTGACCCTATTCCAGTTCATTGTGAGTTCACCGACTCGCAGATCAACACCCATCATCAACTCTAACACTCTGCAGCCACTGATGCCACTTAGCTACTTGTTATTGAAGTACAGTGGAGAACAAAACTATTTGGTGTCAAATCACAGTCGCCCTAAATTTGAACCCAACATACAATTTTTTTTTTAAATTCCAAAACCCCAGAATTTCATATTACCTCATTGTTAAAATACCTGTTAAAAGAAAAGTTACTAATTTTTATTCAAGTCAAAAATTTTGTCTGACTGAGTCTAGATAGCGGACTGATGTGGAAACCACAACACAAGACTTTTTTGGGTCAAATAACGTTTTTTTCCCCCCAGTAAACCTAAATAGATCTATTGTGGAACGCTTATGGTTATAGCCATACCCTGTAAAATGTGCTGTTCCTTATAAAACTAGCACTTTTCTTGGTGCCTCTTTGTGGATCTCCTTGGGTATGTGAAATATCCTGCCGAAGTGGCTATACCGTAAACGGGCTAATGCTTCATCACATCCTCAGTATATATGCCAATGTCTCTGGTACCTCTTGACATTTGACACATTTCTGCACTGCTTTGCTCATTTTCTTTAGTTGATAGTTAAGTGGGCAGTGGTCAATGTACACGCCTACAATTTTTCTCAAATCCTGCCTGAGTGAGAGGTTTGTTACAAGCGAAAATGAGAGAGAGAGTAAAAAAAACTTTTTACACTGGGGTGACTAGACTCGGGCAGAGACGAGGGTGCCGTCGGCAAGGATGAGCGAGGTCTGGAAGAGGCCGAAGACGCACAGGTGGCATTTGGAAGCTGAAAGGGGCTCAGCAGGGATGCTGGCAAGGAGTGGGGCCTGACCGGCGTGAACAAGGAGGACTCGAGCTGAGACTGGTCAGTGTGGACGAGCCGGGTGAAAAAGAAAAAAGAGGAACGTGACAGTGTTTTATTTTGGGACTTTTCTCATCGTCGTGGAGTGGAGGATTCACGTGTGTGAGGGGAGAACCGCTCTGGAACGACAAGAAAAAGAACGTACACGAGGTTCGAGCTTTTCATTTATATCGTAAGATTGGTTTCTGGGCAGTTTTTTTTTTATTTTTATTTTTTATTTTTTTTTATTTTTTATTTTTTTTTCGAAGAGACTTGTATTTCTTTTTTTTTTTTTTTTTTTTTTTTTTTTTTTTTTTTTTTTTTTTTTTTTGTTTTACATTTTATTCACAATACAGAGGACATTGATAGTTGCTTTCTTGTTGTGTTTTTATTTTTCTTTATTTGTTATCTTGTTACTTCACTCCGAGGGTTTCACTGTTTTCCTAAAAGAAGGGAAAAAAATAAAAACAGTGTGGCGCCCGATTATTTCACTTTTGGAGACGAAGTGGCTACAGAAAAAAATCTCCACAGAGCCCCAGGTACCCGGCGACCGGGTGAATTGCCAACAGTCCGGTGAGAAACCGGTAACCTTCGTCTTCCTTTTTGAGAAAATTATAAATCTCTTAGCTCTCCTCATGCCTGCCTGCTGGTTTTGTCCAGTACTTGAATTTTTCTTTCTTACATTTTTCCAGTCCCAATTTCAGCACACACTCCAGTGCAAGTTGTGGTTCTGGCCCTATGGACGTGGACAACTACAAAGCCTTTTAGAATGAAATCTGTTTTGACCATGAAATATCAACTACTAATAATACAAACAAGACATTATTGTGACAACTTTGGACATACAGAACCAACCCATCCAATATCCACATCCAATCTTAAAACAAAAAAATCCTCAGGCAGATTGTCAAAATTTACAAATCCTCATCATGATCTATTCCTGCTTCCAAAAGTTCCCAACTCTCTCGATCTTCCCAAACCCATCAATCTGGCCAAGCCCTTTCTACAATTTGTCTACATTGCCTCAAATGATGATGGCTTAAGACCTCCTTGCCCCTTACTCTCCCATATCACAAAACTTGCAAGTACCTGAGTTCGCTTGTTTCTCATAAGTCATTTGTCCTCCTTTTGTGATGAAGAAAAAACACAAGTTTGTAATGTTTATTACTATTAAATATGTACAAGCTATAATTACTACAAAAAAATTCGGAATTTACATAGAGGTAGACAGAAACCTAGCCATCAATGAAAACTTTTTCATTTCCTGTCATCATCAAAATAACCCTAGTGATCTGCATGAAGCACATGTTTTACTTAGTCTCAAATACATTAAATCCTTTCCTGGGATTTCTATAAACTGAATCAGATTTTGATACTTTCTTGTTCTTTAGTTTCTTAATTCTTTAATAAATTTTTGTCCTCTTTATTAACAGTCAATAAATTCAATTTTCAATTTTTTCTTTGTTAGCTCTGGAATTAGTTTTTAATACCTTAGAACTTGAAGAAAATTTCAATGAATTAACTTCAATAAAACATATATTGTTTTGTCATATGTGTTGGGTTTTTTTGTTGATTATTGGTTGAACAGTCAGCCAGAGAAGAAGTAGAAATCAGTGTTTTATATTATTATATTGTAATTCCTGAATTTTTGACTAAATGGTGCCTTTAAGTACAAATTTCCTGATTCCTCTCCTCATCGCACAGTCATTTAAAAATCCCATGAAGATAGCTACAGAAAAACCGAAACTTCACAGATTAAATCGATTTCTTAAAAAAAACTTCTTCTTTTTCACTGTCCAACACTACCAATAATCACAAAATATGTTGATTAATTTATACATAATTTTAGAACCCTAAGAAGGTTGACAATTGGAAAGTAATTACTGAGAAAGTGTTTTTTTGCTAATAATTTTCATGATTACATTTCAGACTAGCCGGAATGAATGTGTTCATAGATAATATTGAGAAAAAATTGCAATTGAAAAAAAAAGTTTTAACAAAAAACAATGGAGGCTGCGTCTTTTCCTTTTGCTTTCACAACGACAATAAGCTGGATTCATTATATTCCATAATTAACAGTGCTGGAACTTTGTCAGCCTTGAACTTGAAACAAAGGGCTGGTAACAAAAGCCAAATTCTGGAGGGGAGGTCTATTATTTTTGGACAATCGCTTCTTTAAGACTGGCAGGTCACTTGGGTGATGACTGCACGAAACGGTCTGTATTCTACAATTCAGGTATTACAAGTTTTCTTTAAAAAAAAAAAAAAATGTTATAAATATGTCTTACTTCTAGGAAGGATGAAGTTAAATTTTTGTTTATTCACAATTTTAATAATATCTCTGACAAAAACCTCATCAGCGAGCCCTTTTAATAAAAACAAATCGATTGGAAAAGCTAAAACGTACAAATTCGACTATTCCTTGTTCAAAAATAAAACGACAACAAGAAAGAAGAGAAGTTTGCCACCTCAGTTTTTAGAAAATGTAATTATTGAGAATGTAGAAGCCAAGTTCAGCTGGGACGAATACCTGAGCGGTGATAGAATCGGGACTTCGTTCATCTTGAGAAAGGGAAACAGGTTTGTCGAAAACGCAGTACTTTACTATCCGAGGGATGAATCTTTTGTCGTGAGAAATCTTCAAGATGCGTCTGGCTATCAGGGTGAGCTCAGGGTCGTGAAGGACAAATCGGCCTTGGACGGCTGGAACAACAGCAGCAGAAAGGATACAACTTTTTTCAGATTCGACTCAGCCAGAATAGTCTCTGGTAATTAAACAATTTAAAAATGATTTTGTAACAGCTCTGTTAGAACAAAATATTTTTAACAAAATTTGAATATGTAGCCCTTAATTGTTTTAATTAATTAGTAGATAATAATATTAAATTTTGAAACATCGACATATGCACCTGCTAAATTTTGGGCCTAGCATTTTAATTAGCAATACTGTATAAAATAAAAAATAATTGTTAAAGTAAACAGCTTCAATAATTTAAAAAAAAAATTAGTCATTAACATATTAATTGTACGAAAAAAGAATTGACAGGATGCTGTTGATGTTTCTAACCTTAAGCTTGTCGGGATATTAAGTCACTCTTAAATTTTACTGAAAATAATCTCAATTAAAAATACTTAGGTCTTTCATTTCTATATTGTATTATTTTTATTAATGTTTTGGTCTAACATTAAATCTTTCTTTTTAAATGTAAATAAAGTATCTTTCTGTTAACAAATATGCATTTTAATAGTCTTAATTTAAAATATAATACAATTAATGAAGGTTTTTAGTTGAGATAAAAAAAGTCAATGTCACGAGCGGGATTCGAACCCACGATCTTCGGCTAGATACGCTGCTGCTCTACCACCTGAGCTATCGTGACCTCGATCCACTCGGACACCAACCTCCCATCTCAACCACACCTTTTGAATTTTCCCTCCTTTTTGCGTATCAAGCCGAAGATCTTGGGTTCGAATCCCGCTTGTGCCATTGACTTTTTTATCTCAACTGAAAACCTTAATTAATTGTAAGATATTAATTGGTCAAGCGGACCACGAAACTAGGGAATTAAAATATAATGTCGGTTTTTATTTTAAATTTTCAGAAAATGAATCGAAAACTATTCTAAACACCCTTTCAGCAAAACGAGAGACTGGGTTGAAAATCCAATCTGTCTCAATCAGTCTGAAACTGCCCAAGCAGAAAGACAATATGATGTTAGAGGTGTTGTAAGTATCAGGGGTTAGTACAATAAAAATTGTTCTCAATATATTTCACGTGATTTTCAGAGATCTAGCGAGAAACAGTTCTAGCAAAATGGTTGTACACGTTTTCCCGAACACAGAGACAGTCGTCCTCAACGACCTCCCATCACAATCTATCGTGCGTTTGGCACTAAAGCCATTTGGCGTGGGCACGAAAGAGATATCCTCCGCATTCCTTTTTACAGGCAGGCTGACTCTGGAACATGTCAAATTTGAAGGGTCAGCGAGTACGAATTATGAACGAATACGACCAAGTAGGTGTAGCATTGTAGTTGTAATGAGTGGTAAAAGTATAAGTTTTCCTTTTAGATGGCAAGAAAAGGCTGACAGTCACATGTTTTGTCGAAAACAAGAAACCATTTCAAGGGTTCCCCTGTAAAGGTTCCAGCATCTGCATTCCTCTTAACTGGGAGTGCGATGGTGATAATGACTGCCAAGGTAGATAAAAATATTTATATATACTGATTATTGATTGATATAAGTTCAAATACGCACATAGATATACATTACATCATGCGTGTACAAAGTTAAACCTGTCACTTCTCACAGGCCTCAGATGTTGGGAGTCCAGGGTCAAACCTCAGTCTTATCAGTCCAGCCATTGAGGTTGGGCTGCAGGGGCCGTCAACAGCTAAGTCATTTCAGCCCATAACGCAATCAGTTCTTAAATTTATTCACACTCTCACTCACCGTCAAATACAGTCTTACTTATTACTCCAACATACCATTCAGGCAATTGAATGCTCGACATTCCTCTATCACTGTCTACACAATTTATACACCTAACCTAATTGAGGGACATATTCATCGTTCCACCATCGACTCTCTCACACTACACATTCACCCTAAAACAATATATTCACTCTCAACACACACTAAGGGACAAAACTGTCATTACTATGTACAATAAAACAATCCTGTTTTCTCCAAAGCAAAGTCTCCACTAGCAATAAATCTTGCACAAGTTGACTTCCACTAGCAACTTTTGACATGTGAACACTCGTTCACGCAAGTCAATTTCTGCAAGCTACAGTATCTTGCTGAACTTGCTGCAAGTACACCGTAGATGTACACAGTTATTTTGACCTTGCAAGAAGCAGTTGCTTGTTTATTGAGCAATTACAATAAATTACAATTAATTAAGGTATATAGTTGAGATAAAAAAGTCAATGGCACGAGCGGGATTCTAACCCAAAATCTTCGGCTTGATACGCCGATGCTCTACCACTTGAGCTATCGTGACCTCGATTCACTCGGACACCAACTTCCCATCTCAACCGCACCTTTTGAATTTTCCCTCCTTTTTTCCATTTTTCAAATGTGTAATTGAATTGGATTCTCGACCATAAATGAAATGGCCACGGAGAGCTTTAGTGAAGCTTCACTATGACTATTTCATATTCGCTATCATATTCATATTCCCCCCTTACTTAATTCCATAGTTTTACACACCCTTGTAACTACTTACTGTTCATTGACTGTTTATTGACTAAAGTTAAAGTATGTAGTCTTTCAGGTTTTAAAATCTGAACTAGGGTTAAGTAACAAATTGAGTGATGTAATAAAATATCGTGTAGAGAGGATGGAGAAGAACATTTTTTTACTTCAGGTTCATACCCTAGAAAGGATTCCAAATCATGTATTTTTCCCTCCTTTTTGCCATTTTTCAAATGTCGTGTAATTGGATTGGATTCTTGACGACAAATGAAATGGCCACGGAGAGCTTTAGTGAAGTATACTTCATTTTTAATCATTAAATTCACTAATTTCGTGGTCCGCTTGACAAAAAGTAAAAAAGGAGGGAAAATTCAAAAGGTGCGGTTGAGATGGGAAGTTGGTGTCCGAGTGGATCGAGGTCACGATAGCTCAAGTGGTAGAGCAACAACGTATTTTATCCAGTTTGCAATTAGAATTATCTTTTCCAACCAGTCAATTAAAGTTTGGTTAGCACTGATCATGGAAAGCTCAGAAAAAACTGAGCGTGATTTCTTGAGGGTTGCAGTGATGAATTTGTATTTTGGTCATTTCTGAACATATGGCTAGTTTGAATGTTCATTTTTAAATGTATATAGATTCTTTCAAAAATTCATTGACTGCCCTACACTTTTTTTTTTTTTTTTTGGCTGGGGCTTCCTACATCTAGATCTAAATCTGTCTGATAGGAATAATTACAATTCATCCTTAACTACATAATTTGTTTTTTAAGAAATTTTAAGAAACAAAGTTAGAACATTACATCTTTCAGCATTACATATTCATGAATTGTTTTAAACAGTTTAATCAAAACAAATGAAACATTGAAAGGAAATTGTACCATTTCAACTTACACCAAATGTAAAACAAATTATGTACACATAAGCATTTAAAAATTAAATGTTGAAATATTTCATCTATTCTTCATGAGCAGATGAGCATATTTTTTCTTCGCCCTCTTTGTAATTTCTTTTTGTATCATGTTTGGTAGTGGCGCAACGCCACCTTGAGCAATCGTAACCGCAGCCAGGAGGCTGTCAAGCTCTTCGTCGTTTTTGATCGCCAGCAAGATGTGCCTCGGAGTGACCCTGAAAGGTGTAAAATTAAAATACATTTTCCACTTAGACCCCAAGACCCGTACCGGACTTTTCCGTAGAGATTGGCGATATTCGCAGCCAAGTCGAACACCTCCTTGATGAGGTACTCCAAAGCGCCGGCTATGAATACGCCAGCAAGGGGACTTATCCGTTTGACAGGCATGGTGTGCTTCATCAGTTTGACACACCTTGTAACTGACAAAGTGAGGCCAGCCATCTTCGTCTTTGCTCGTCTTTTGGTTTTCACTGAAAATTTTTTATACATTTTATTACTGCACATTTGGTTGAGTCTGAAACTATCTACTTGTGCAGTTGTGCATTAACTATTTATGTCTACTCTTTTACTCAAATAAAAATTCTATACATGTTTCCTGTTAAAATTGTAAATTGAAACATAATTCTCACCTTAATGGGATGAATGATCTCTTTCAGTAATTTCTATAACATAATATTTTGTAGTTTATTCAGTGTTCTTAAATTGAACAACTTATATTTTACACTTTTTGTCAGTACATTGAATAAACAATTACTTTCAATGATCTGTAGTTGTTAGGCAGACAGAAAGTCTTAAATTGAATCAAAATGTATTTCAGTGATATGATCAATTATGGCAGAGTTTGAATATTCCTCTGAATATCACTTTTTGTTTAATTACCTTCAATTTGATGTCTATGGGGGGGGATTAAAATTGGGAAGAGATCAATATTGACCAAACTGACTTTTTTGGTTTTCACATCTAGTTTCAATTTTTATTCAATCAATGCGACCTTGAGAAAAAATTCTAATCTGTAAACCAGCTTGGACTTGGCCACTACAACCCAAGTCTGCAAGTACAACTACAATTTTCTCCTGGTAAGCTATAGTCAACAACAGTTTAAACTTCAAAATTCAAGACTTTCAACCGGTTCAGACACATGAGCTGAATCAACCTAAAATATATTGAAATTAATAAACAATATCAAACAATGGTAGGCGTGGATCAGAGATGTGGTCCGTTGAATCCACTTCTACAATTAGCAGCTATTGGTTGATCACTACAATAAAATATCAAACAAAACCTTAAACCACAGGAAAATGTAAAAACTAGTTCTTTTAGATGACTCTTTTGTGAATAATTTCGTTTCTACCACTTGCATTTCTTCGACAACCTTTTAGCTTTTTTTTATTGAAGCATTTCAGTTGAACAACAGCTGGTGCATTTTTGATATTAAAAGTCAAATTGTCAATTTTGGAGGTAAAACATGTGGTAAGACAGGATCAACTAGGTCTACTGATTAAGTTTCCTTGCCTACTAATAACAAATAATCATGCTGTAAATCTAGAATGGTGAATTTCAAACACCTAGCAAGTAAGAGTGAACTGCACACAGTAAAATTTTTCAGTTGCAAATGTATTAAACAAAAATAATAAAAATTAAGGTATACAACCACGTATAGTTTTTCTTCATAGTTTTTACATGTCAGAATTTGCTTGATGGTGATTACTTGTTGCAAGTTGTGCATACTAGGTTTTCTGGACATGAGGTGACTATGCGTCAACCTTGTGTGGCCTATCCTATGCCTAGCAAATACAATTTCCTCTTTCCGTGATCTTTGCATTGCCGTACCCCATTGTTTGACATCTCCCTTCTCCCTTCTACATTCCAAATGTCAGAAGTCAAAAAAATATAATCGAAATACTGTGGCTAATATGAAAGCCCGTAAGACAAAAAATAAGTGAATAAAAAGCACGTTATATTTTTATAAAAATTTCTTTTAGATGGTTTTGATGAGCAAGACTGCAAGAGAGGACTCAGTGAGTACAGTCTCAGCAATTATAACTCAGACAATTGCAGACGCAACGAGTTTGAGTGCTTCTCCAGAGGTGTTCATGTTTGCCTTCCCATAAGCTGGTTATGCGACGGAAGAACAGACTGTTCTGATGGGTAATACTAAAAATATTTTAATCGCCTTTTGTTATTTCTTACATATTAAATGATTAGTGATGAATTCTTAAATAAAAATAAACACTTTTACAAATTTTTTCTCAGTTGGGATGAGGACAAGCGAAACTGCCCAGATCATCATCATTACCCGAGCTACAGCCAAAACCAGAACAACCACTACCATTACTCATCAAGCTGCAGCTATAATTACTTCAAGTGAGTTTCTTTAATAAAGAAAAAAAACAGTTCAAAACAGATCTTGATAAAATTCAGGTGCAACAAAGGAGGTTGTGTGGCCCCAAGACATGTCTGCGACGGTCACAAAGACTGCACTGACGGGTCAGACGAGTTTTATTGCACCGATGAAGAACCGTTTGACTTGGATGAAGATTCCGACACCTTTTGTGATCCTGACTATGAATACTTGGTATGTATTAATGTTTCAGCAAATGACCAAATTATATATTGATTTAATTTCAGTGTGGCAAAGGAAAACGGCAGAAATGTGTGCCACGTCCGTGGGTGTGCGATGATGAAGAGGACTGCCCAGGCGGTGAAGATGAAGATGGAAAAATGTGTTCAAACTATTTTCCCAACTATGACTGATTTTTTTAAATATATATACATATTCTTAAAATGATAATGATAAATAATTATATGTAATTTCAGTAGATTATTGTTAATGTGGTGTTGGTTGTCTATTTTTTAAATAATAAATGTCTGGTTTTATCGAATTTGTTTGCTTTTTCCATATCATATATTTCTTCTTTATTTGAAATGTAGTAGGTTGATATTATTATTTAAATTCACTAATTTCGTGGTCTGCTTGACCAATTAATATATTACAATTAATTAAGGTTTTTAGTTGAGATAAAAAAGTCAATGGCACGAGCGGGATTCGAACCCACGATCTACGGCTTGATTCGCCGCTGCTCTACCACTTGAGCTATCGTGACCACGATCCACTCGGAAACCAACTTCCCATTCAACCACACCTTTTGAATTTTCCCTCCTTTTCGCCATTTTTCAATGCGGAGTATCAAGCCGAAGATCGTGGGTTCAAATCCCGCTCGTGCCATTGACTTTTTTATCTCAACTCAAAACCTTAATTAATTGTAATTATTATTTAGCTTCATGAATGTTTCATTTTTTTATTGTATAACTGAGAAAATTAAAATTTCTTTCTTTTGCTCAAAAGTTCCCAGGATCTTAGTTGAAATCATCTTTAATTTTACTCCATATTTGCTTAGGGGTCATAATTGACCATATTAATTATTCCAATTAATTATTCTTTTTATGGGGACCGCGGTAGCCAAGTGGTTAGCATGAGAGACTCTCACGCCGCGGTCGTGGGTTCGATTCCCACTGTCGCCTCTGGCCCTTTTTCACAATAACACCCCCAAATTTGAACACATATATGAATTGTCACATAGCTAATATGTATAGTTCATAACGAAAAAAAAAAAAAAAATTCTTTTTATCTAAGGTTTTTGGTTGAGATGGAAAATTAAAAATGAAAAATTTGTGGGTTCGAATGACACGTTTCATCTCAACATTAACCTTAGATAAAAAGAATAATTATTTGGAATAATTAATTTTACTATTCAAGAGAGGAGATAAACTGAATATTAAAAACTATAAATGGGGCGTCGGTGGCCGCAACAGTTAAGGCGTTACTTCTGATGAAAAGTGGATTTTCTAGAGCCTTGTATGCACTGGAATTCTTTGTTCGGACTCTGTCGCACACTCGGATTCATGTCACATACTCTTTGCTTCGCAACATTGTCTCTCCGTAAATCATGTCCATATCTAGTTTGAGTCTGAGTCATGTCGTGCTCTCAGGGATTGTAGTAGCACTTTATGTAGCTCTATGGAGTGGGGGGGGAAAAGCCACCTCTTTGGTGGATTCGTGGGATATTCAAGGATCAGAATAAGCATGGGCACAATCTTTTTGACACACTGAATGGGATTCCGAAATTTTGTTCGGATCAGTTCAGTCAACTTTGAATGTCTTTTGGAAATGTTTGGACCACACATTTTGAAAAAGGAGACGAATTTTAGGGTGCCAGTTTCTGCTACCGACAGGATAGCAAATAACTCTCCGTTTCTTTGCAAGTGGAGACTCTCATGCAAGCCTCATGTGCAAGTCTAACTTCATATTTTTGGGCTAACTCAGCCACAGGGTCGCTGAAAAATAGCGCGAAAATGGTTGAGAGCTCCGCTCGGTTTGATTCATGTCCACACTGACTCAATGTTGAGCAACATTGAGTAAAGCGGGGAACACACTTACCCCATGCAACACTATGCGATGCTACCCGACGCCTTGTCACGTTTTGGTAAACATCTGCACAGTCACACAGCAGCGTGTATCACAACAGTCACAATTGCATTGCTTCTTTTGTTCTTAATGCACTATTTTGAGCAAAACCTTGTTATAAATTGTCAGTTAAATTTTATGAGCACAACCATCTAATAAATTGTTTGTTAAACTTAATTGTTTTAAATAAAGTTATTCCGGTGTTTTGATCAATTTTCTTACTAACCATCATTTTTATAAAAACTTATGAATTTTTAATCTCGTTTAATTTGGTTTACATTAAAATAAGAATGTTGTAATTAATATAACGACAAAATTACATGTTATTTGACAACATTAGTTTGAAATAAACTGCAAAAAATATAACTGTCCTGTTCTGACGCTACCTGACAAAAATGGTGTAATTTTACGAACAAAACCATGAAATAAATTGTTAGTTAAATTTTATGAGAAAAACCGTGTAATAAATTGTTAGTTAAATTCATTAATCAAAAAATGGTATTCTGGTGTTTTAATTGATTTTCTTCCAAACCATTAAAATTATTTTTTTTAAATAAAAACTAATCTATTTTTGATCTCGGTAAATTTGGTTTATGTTAAAACAAGCATGTTGTAATTAATGTAATAACAGTAATACATGTAGTCTGAATAAAAATATGAGTGTCCGGTTCTTTTGTCTTCGACTGTACTCGATGCTACCCGTAGCGTTGCATAGCATCGGGCAGATGTGCACGGGAGTAATACAACCTTACGGAAAAGTGGACTTAGGATTTGCGTCGGGTAGCGTCGCATGGCGTTGCATCGGTGTTCGGCGGTTCCGGCTTTAAGCTAGAAACACACTTACCCGATGCTATGCCACGCTAACCTACCCGACGCTCTGCGATCCCCACTGTCCAGATTTTCGTCCGGTAGCATCGAGTACAGTCGAAGACAAAAGAACTGGACACTCATATTTTTATCCAAACTACATGTATTATTGTCGTTATATTAATTACAACATACTTATTTTCATATAAACCAAATTAACTGTGATTAAAAATTAATTAGTTTCTATTTAAAAAATTAATTTTAATGGTTTGGTAGAAAATTAATCAAAACAGCGGAATACGATTTTTTGATATAATGAATTTTACTAACAATTTATTTTACTCGCTTCGGCGGTACATATACTAAAATTGGAACAATTTATTACACGGTTTTTCCCATAAAATTTAATTAACAATTTATTTCATAGTTTTGCTCGTAAAATTACACCATTTTGTAATGTCAGGTAGAATCAGAACAGGACACTCATATTTTTTGTAGTTTATTTCAAACTAAGTTCTAAACTAAGTCATTATATTAATTACATGTTATTTTAATGTAAACCAAATTAAACGAGATCAAAAATGCTAAGATTTTTATAAACATTGTTTAATTATGATGGTTAGGAATAACTTTATTTAAAACAATTAAGATTAACAAACAATTTATTAGATGGTTGTGCTCATGAAATTTAACAAACAATTTATTACATGTCTGTATAAGGTTTTGCTCAAAATAGTGCATTAAGAACAAAAGATGCGTTGCGATTTTGATAGTGATTATTGTGATAAACGCTGTGGACTGTACGCGACGTGTGCTTGCGTCGGATAGATGTGCACACCCCACCAAAACGTGGCAAGGCGTCGGGTAGCGTCGCATGGCGTTGCATCGGGTAAGTGTGTTCCCGTTTAAAGAACCCATTTATGATGGAATTCAAAACATTCTAAAACGCAACACCCCGGATTCAAGATTCATTGTCCCGGATACAAGAAAATGGATCCCAAACGCAGCTCTTTGACAAAGAGTCCGAACAAAGAATCCCAGTGCGTTCTAGGCTTTAGATAACAGCAGATGTTCTAGACAGTGGCTCGACAAAGGAGAAGCGGCACTACATTTTCCAAAGTCATTTCCCTTTCTAAAAAAAAAGCAATGGTGACTCTTTAGTGAGCTTCATTTGGGCTGATTTACTACAGCTTGTTGAATCCTAGCGAAACGAAATTGCCAAAATTGAAACATGAGAAGGTATTATTAAAGCCATCTTTGGTCAATCGGAAATGGCCAATTTTGTTACACGACAACCCTCGGCCACCTCGTCTCACGTGTGACAAAACGATAAAATACACAATAAACACACAAACGTTAAATAAAACATTGTACATTGCTGACACATTCAACATTTACTTTACGTTTTAAAGAGAGAAAAAATGAAAGAAAGGTACAGTTTTAACTTTCCAGGGTTGTTTTTGAATTATAAATGTTTTATCGTTCAATTGTGAAACTTAATTCACACTCAAAAAGATTTGAGACCTTGGTGTATCAAATTTATCAAAAGGTGACCAAAAGCTTGAGAACGTTGTGAAACCGCAGAATACAAAAAACTTTTAACTTGGAACACGAGCAAAATCGTACAGATATAAAAAATAAATAAATAAATAATTAAATAAAAACATAATTTCAGACGAGGCAGAATACCAATATGTTTTTCTTTACATTAAATTGTTTTACGAGCGTAAAATAAAAAATCGTCCAAACCTTCAGTTTGAAATATAAAAACTCTTCTTTTATTCAATGGCATATGCCGTGTTATTTATTAGCTTTATGTTAGTTAACTTAAACATACCATTTTACAGAAAGTATGTAACTTATAGGCCTGGACCTGTGTCGGTATCTTTGTCGGATGTGTTTCATGGTGTTATCCGCCTAATCTTTATTTTTTATTTTTTTTTTTAGCGGCTTATAGCGGGTGATTGAAGAAGTCGGTGTTTTTTCCAGCTTTTGCCCACCTTTATAGAAATACGTTTTACAAAAAAAAATGGAAGTAAAATGTCCAAGACGTAAAATTCCACTGAAGATGCCGTTGAGCTGCTAGCTGAACATCAAATCGATGACCGAGGCAACTTATCTCAATTTTGAATAAAATAATTGTTAGTTTAACTCTTTATTGAAATATTATACACTGATGGACAAATTTAACGCACTACTTAATTTATTTAGTTTAAAATTAAATCCATAATCTTTCCACGTTAATAACAGTAATTAGGAGCTACCGTAGTCAAAATAAACAGTAAGCAATCCTTTGTTTACTTCTTTTATTTACTTTTGTCCTGATAGGTTTGGTACAATTTATATCATAATAATTAATTCATGGATGTCATTTCTTCCACTCTTGACCAGAAGCAGTGTTGTCCTGGTGTGTTCCTTGTTAATTCCTTGTTTGTCATCCGGTCCTACTGTGGAAGCTGAAGGGCATCGTACCCAGTACCTAAGTTCTAATCTTAAAATCGTGCATTTCTGACCGTAACTTCAGAGTTAGACAAGGTACACTATATACTACACACACACACACACACACACACACATATATATATATATAGTAGTTTTCACCACTACTCG